AAAAAAAAAAAAAAAAAAAGAATTTATCATATTTATATATAAAAACATCTGAATATCCAAAGGATATTAAAAAATCACTGCCAGTTTAACACTTCTCAGTGGGAGTTTTTTTTTTTTTGAGATGGAGTTTTGTTCTTGTTGCCCAGGGTGAATGGAGTGCAATAGCACGATCTCGGCTCACTGTGATCTCAGCTCACTGCAACCTCTGCCTCCCCAGTTTCAAGCAATTCTCCTGCCTCAGCCTCCTGAGTAGCTGGGATTTTACAGGCATGTGCCACCATGCCCGGCTAATTTTGTTTTTTTAGTAGAGACACGGTTTCTCCATGTTGATCTGGCTGGACTCGAACTCCCAACCTCAAATGATCCAAAGTGCTGGGATTACAGGTGTGAGCCACTGCACCCAGCCTCAGTGTTTTATTTGGCCTCTTTTGATGCCTGGTGGCTTTCTGCATCCCATACAGAACAAATTGTCTTTTTTCCCCCAGAACCCAGAAATGTGGACAAATGAGTTGTCTTTTTATTATAGTTCTTGCTTCCTTGTGTTCCTCTCTTCTAGGACTTTCTAATATGTAGGACAAATGATTTTGACTTGACTTAAACCCTACGGAAATAAGATTTTCTTTGTAGATACATTTTTATGGTGAAACTAAACCAAAAGTTTTCAGCTTAGCGGTATGTATCACCAGGGAGTTTTGAAGACAATATCCATACCTCGGCCCCCTCCTGAAGAGCTTGATGGGTAGGGGTTGGTCTGGGCATTGAGATTTTTTTTTTGAGACAGAGTCTTGCTCTGTCACCCAGGCAGGAGTGCAGTGGCGTGATCTCAGCTCACTGCAACCTCCGCCTCCCGGGTTCAAGCAATTCTCCTGCCTCAGCCTTCCAAGTAGGTGGGACTACAGGTGCACACCATTACGCCTGGCTAATATTTGTATTTTTGGTAAAGATGTGGTTTCATCATGTTGGTCAGGCTGGTCTCGATCTCCTGATCTTGTGATCTGCCCACCTTGCCTCTCAAAGTGCTGGGATTACAGGCTTAAGTCACTGCGCCCAGCCTGGGCATTGAGATTTTTAACAGCAGCCCCCATACTCCCCAATAAATGGGGATGGTAAGGCACAACCAAGGCTGAGACTACTGTGTAGTAGTCCAGGCTGCCTGCTGGAATGTCAGTGCTGACTTGAGTGCGCCTTTCTAGTGGTTGTGGGGAGGTCTGCACTTGCTGTGTGCTACCTTGACTGAGGACTTTTGAGGAAATTCTGTTTCAAAATTACCGTGAGGTCCGGTGTGAGACCCTCACTCAGACTCAGTCTCTAGTGACTCTCTGAAGTGAGTGCTTCTACTTCATAAAGGATCTGAGGCACTCAGCACTAGACAAATGTAGCTTGTTTTTAATTCCTCCAGTTTGTTACCTCCCTTATTTGCCAGGCTTGGCTTTGAGTGAGTTTTGGCTTTTTAGGGTTGGGGGGGCTCTCTGATTCATTCAACAGATCTTCACTGAGTGGCAGATGTGTGCAAAGTGCTTGGGATGCTAAAGACGACAAGTGTGTCCTCTGTATTCAGTGTTGCGAGACAGACAGTGATTGAGACGACAGAGTTGACAGTTACGATGACATGGAAGTGGGTGCTGACAGAGGATGGCTGCTGGTGTAGGCAGGATGGTCAGGGATCTGATTTCTCAGAACTGACCGGGAAGGGACGGTGGGGACCAGGCCATTTGGGGCCTCACAGATCAGGGCTGATGAGTTTGGGTCCATTTATGTTGACTCAGTTTATTTGAGGGTGGGAGCACTCCTGTTTCTCAGAATTCCCGGTGCCTAAACCCGGGCATGGCAGATGATACTTGCTCAGTAAACATTTATTGAACAAAGAATTGATTGAAGTAAGAATGCTGGAGCGCACAGAGCTGTGGGGCCTGAGTGCAGCCTGGAACACGTGCCCCCTCCTCATCCATCAGGTGAGACCAGCAGGAGAAAGCCAGCTCAGCAGTGGCTGGTGGTTGTATTTATGGTTAACTTATTTTGAGATACTGGTAGTTTCACATGCAGTTGTAAGAGATAATACAGAGAGATCCTGTGTCCCCTTCTCCCAGCCGCCCCCAGCAGTGACATCTGGTAAAATTCAGTGCACTCTCAGCACCAGGCTCGGGGCACTGATACTGCCAGGACACAGAACGTCAGGACAGCTCAGACCCTAACCCTTTGTTGCCTTTTTATAGTCACACACACGCCGCTAATCTGTTCTCCATTTTTGTGATTTTGTATTTCTTTTTTTTTTTTTTTTTTTTTTTT